CAACTACAAAGATCTCGGAGCCAAGATGGTGAAAGCTCACATAGTCATTGCATCACATAGGTCTCAGAGCTAAGTTCGTAAAAGCTCTCATAGTTCGTCTCGGAGCTAAGATGTTAAAAGCTATTGATACTCAGTGCGCACATCTTTTGTACAAGAAACTGCATCATAGGGTTCACATATTTATATAATAGTGTTGCATTATGCATGTACTATGCCTAAATAGTAGGCAGGGTTTGACACATGGTGCACGAGCCGGAGGCGAGTGCACTATGTGTCAAACCCTGCCTACTATTTAGGCATAGTACATGCATAATGCAACACTATTGTTATTATTATGCTGACTGTTGTAATTATTTATGCGGCAATCTATTTGACTTTTTCCTGAAAATATCGGTGCTTAAACAGCGCACCTGCAAGAACTAATTCAAAATATTCATGCTAAAATTGTTTGCATGCTTAGTTATTTTGGTTACTAGTATTTTCTCTAAATAAGTCGGGATTTTCTGTCCCAAAGCAACACATCTTTATTTTCTGTTTTGTTCGTAAGCCTTATTTGTTTGCAGACGTCGATTCTCATTGATAATTTTCTTTTACATCCTTCAATCAAGCGTCATATAAAAAAGCGTTTTAATGACCCTATAAAATCAGTTCATCTAACGATCTGTATGTAATTAGTTTGAAAGTTTGTTGTACACATTAATCTAAAGTTCCTTAGAATAATATAACTGTTTTCAAATAATATTTGTCTATTTTCTCCTTCTTGTGTCAATTGTATAAATTAAGTTTATATATTTAATAAAAATATACCAAACAGTGATCGTCTCTATGGCGTAATCGATAAGGCATCGGACTGACAATCTCATGGTCGTGAGTTCGATCCCCGGCATGTGCATGGAAGAATTTTATTCAGTAAATAAAGCCGTGCACTATTTCGGCATAGTATGCTTACGCTATATAAATCCTTAGACCACTATGCGAGAATAGTAGGGTATGGGTTATATAGAGACAAACTGACAGGAAGCATAATAATTGGTAATAGCAATTAGTTAGTTAGAGTGTCACTTCATTAATATTAATATTGTCCGCCCCTCACTGAAGCTCTGTCTCCCATCTCCTTATAGGATACGGCAATGTCCTCTGTTTACATTAACATTTGCATTTTGCACATTCTTCAGTTAATTGGATGGCTGCAGGTTTGCACAAAGTCTGATTGGAAGTGTCAATGTTCGAGAACAACACATCGTAAAAACTAATTGTCCGTCAAATGAAGACGCTCTGTTATTGCATTCTATCTCCCAGAGTTTGTAAACAAGTTCGTAATTAAGATATGATTGTCCGTCGCTCTACGCACTGATAGTATCAATTATAATTCATAACACAATATTGAACTATAGATAAATGTACTGTACAAATTAATATATCAATTAAACTTATAATCTATACGCTCATTCTGTTACAATCGACCTAAAAGCCATATCCTTTAGAGACAATTTAGTGTTTTCAGGCATTCCAGAACTTAAAGGAGAGGACACAGAGGAGGTTCTGCAACTTTTTCTTTACAATTTAAAGAAATTTAAGATTGGCTACGAACTTTCATTTGAACGGTCCACAGGATGGGAAAGACCCAGAAATATTGTTGCAAAATTCACATATTTCAAGGACAAGGAATACTTTAGAAGCAAAGCGCCACATAGACTCCATGGATGTAACATTTGGGTAAATGAACAGTTCCCAGTAGAAATCGAGAAGAGGAGGGAAAAAAAATCTACCCCGTTATGAGACAAACGAGATTAGACAAATGTACAACCAAGTTAGTCCGGGATGTGCTATATATAAACGGGAAAGAGTAAACACCTCAATCTCTACTGATAACAGAGCTGACGGAAGAAACAACATCCTACATATCCTTCGGGCAGAAATCACATGGAAATAGGTGGAATCAAATCAGCAAACACCTAGGGGCGAACGACCATCCCAGAAGCCATCCAGACCGCACTGACGCCTAGGGGGCGCAGGAGAGCAGACGTACTTCCACAAATTGTGAAGACTCTTTACTGACATCTGATCTAACGGAAAACACTTTGAATTTTCTATCTTTAAATGTCTGTGGAATCAAAAACCGTCTCAATTATACCGAAATTAAAGAATTTATTACCCAATACGATATATCAACTTTCTCTGAAACAAAGATAGATAATTCTGATGAAATTGATATTCCAGACTATACAACATTTATGAAAAAACAGAAATAAGCTTTCAAAAGTAAGATCGGGTGGATTGATATTAGTAGTTCGTGATGAAATCATTAAGGTAGGATTCTTCTCTGGTTTCTGACTAGATGAAACTTTCAAAGTATATTTGCTTATATGTCTTATATATTTAGGTATAAGGGATTTAAAAGACCATATTATTCTTTCCTCATCACAATTGTACAACTTTAAATGGTTCACTGCGCTTGAAAACTAACAGGTACTATATTTTTGGCGGAATGGTGGCGTATGAAAATATCTTCTGCCTCTTAAAATTATAATAGAACAATGAATTTAGTTATAATTTTTACACAATCAAAGACTTGAAGCAATTTTCAAATGTCCATAAAAAATATTTTTTTCTCTCTTAGTAAACGATCAAAACTTTTTGTTTTTGTATAATTTTGTACATTTATAAGACTACTTTGTTAGATGTGAAAATAAGAAAAAGTTAAATATAGGAAGCATATGAAAATAACTTATATATCCTAAAAAATTAAGAAAAAACAGAAAATTCAGATTAGCCAATGTCCAGTTTAGTTAAATTATCTATATAAATTTGGTAATATCATGCTATAGACCCGATATAGTAATATCTTTTTATGCAAAAAGAACAATCTTTAAACTTCTAAAATAGAAGAAAGCATCACATGATTGGCAGCAGTATTTTTTTATTCATAATGTCAAGGAAAAAGATAATGACCTTGACCTGACCTTGCCTCTAATATACGGTCAAAGTTAATCTCACTGATACTATCACTTACTGATATTGTCTTCTTGATTCTGTGAAAATTTCCTTCAATTTTTAAATACAAGAAATATGAGAAGAATCCTACCTTAAGTATATAAAGATTGTAAATACTGATTGCAAATATGTGCTCTTATTTAAGTTATAAATAAGTCACTTTTTCAAACATGTGAAGATTTGATCTGCGGAGTTGTGTATATACTACCTGAATCTATTAAATATTCTTGTACAGATTGTTATAAAGAAATTGAGCAAGAACTCATCGGTGTTTCAACAGACAAAAACATGTATGTTTAATAGGAGATTTTAATGCTAGAGTACGGAATTTAAAGGCTTATTTTACTGCAAATATTTTTTGACACATGTTAACCATTCAGGTGCATTTGAAGCCTCTATGTTATCAAGGGCTTTTATTTTTGAAAAATATGATATTCCTTTGCTAGATAGCTCTGTTGAAGATACAATTGCCAACAATTTTGGCTATAAATTAAAAGATTTCTGTAAAAATAACGATTTGTATATTGTAAATAGTAGATTCGGTACCGACAAAAACAAAAGGTTTGTTACTTGTAAAAGCAGTAGAACTGTGGATTATTTTATTGCCAGACTGGTTTAAACAATTTTTAACTTTTACAACATTTTGAAGAACACAAGTTCTGTGATCTTTTTTTCCGATGTACATAATCCACTGTCTTTTTCTATGTCCACCTGTCCAATCTCTAAAAAAAAAACGTCATGCGTGAAAACCAACCAGGTGTAAAGTTATGGTGCCCCGATAGGGAAGCCGAGTTCTGTAATAACATTGATATTTCAGCTCTGAAGTCAATTGAGTGTAACCTTATCGAAATGAATAATAATGATATTTCAAGCACTGATATTATCGCAAATCTTGCTTCAAAGTATACACTTGGACTGATATACTGATGCGTTGAGTGACAACACTGATGAATCTGACTGAAATACAATTGCGAAATCCAACAAAGAATGTGATTAGTGCTTTTCTATAGGCCCACCCACTTTCTCATGGAAACAGCTGTAAGCAAGTGGCAGGCCTCTACTTACTAAGCGAAGTATATATTGGACTTACCGGGTATGTAATACCTTATTAAATTATTGTGAGTGTGGGTAACCTGTATAATGATCTTGATTTCTTCAAGTAAAATCCGATTTAGGACTAGCAGAAGGCGACTTAAAAATGATACACGGTACACCCGGGGCATTTTTTTTGCGATTGAATAACAGGGCCGTTTTAACGTATTTTCTTCAGTACATCAATGAAAGTAAACGTACTTAAATTTGAAAAATGTCACTGGGTGAAAAAAGTGGTTTCCCATCATGGGAAACTTTATGGAAACCACATGGAAACCTCAAGTTTACATCATGTTTCCCAGTGGTTTCCGTAGCGGATGCTAGGTTATTCCGCCAAGTTTCCGTGACACGGAAACCCCCTACGCTCCGATTCCATAAGGTATCCCGAACCACGGAAACCTCTGTAAACCTGAAGTTTCCCGAACATCCATGTAGTTTCCCGTAATGGGAAACCTGAAGATTCCACTGGTTTCCAGAATCAGGAAACTTGATGGAATCGGAGCGTAGGGGGTTTCCGTGGAATGGAAACTTGGTGGAATCTTTAGGTTTCCTTTTACGGGAAACTACATGGAAGCTCGGGAAACCTCACGATTCCTAAAGTTTCCATGACTCAGGAAACCATATGGAATCGGAGCGTAGTGGTTTCCGTGGAATGGAAACTTGATGAATCTTTAGGTTTCCTTATACGGGAAACTACATGGAAGCTCGGGAAACCTCACGATTCCTGAAGTTTCCTCGACTCAGGAAACCATATGGAATATGAGCGTAGTGGTTTCCGTGGAATGGAAACTTGATGGAATCTTAAGGTTTTCTTTTATGGGAAACTACATGGAAGCTCGTGAAACCTTATGATTCCTACAGTTTCCTTGACTCAGGAAACTATATGGAACTTGTGTAACACTTCCTGTGTGGCGGAAACTTGGTGGAATTATCTGGAGTCCCATTCCTGGTGGAAATTACTGGGAAACTTCAAGATTCCCTAACTTTTCTAAAGGAAGCAATGTGAAATAATGTGTATTCTTTTAAAAATCTATCAAAAAAATTTATTACATGTAAAAGAAAAAAGCATTACCATTTTATATGTTTAATAATTCATTTGATGTACAAAAACTGTAACTGAATTTTTCAATGATATCAAAATATTAAATAAATCCATATATCTTAGATAAACAATGGAACAGTCTTTCACATTTAAGTCCATTCATAAGGGTCATTAAGTACTTCTTTCAACATCAGTTTCCTGGTTTTCTTCACATCACCTTTGATCTGCAATATTCATACAAAATTATTATATGATGTCAGAATTATAATACTTGAATATAACTTAGAAATCTGAAAGATCAGTCAATGTCCTTTAATATACCAATATCAATAATTACTTTCCATGACCATGATACATATGATTTCAGCTTTTAATGTATCTCTTTAATATTTAATGCTTTATGATAAGTGAAAAAAAAATAACATAAGGCCAAGCTTAAAAAATTCTTTGTTTGCAGTTGCCGACCTATAATTTTTAGTCTGAGGAGTTGGTAGGCAATTTTTTTTTTTTTTTTTGAAAAAAAAATATTTCCAGATCTTTGTTAGATAACATAAAATAAAGTTTTTCATAGGCCTACTTTACATGAATAAGCTGCACTCTTGGTATGATTGATAAAGAAAAAAATTGAAAATGAAACAGTTTTAATATCCTGAAAAATTGGAGAGAAAAAAAATATTACAAAATGGCTAAAAAAAAGTTTGGGTCGGGTGCATTTTCAGTGGGTCGGTCGGCAACTGCAAACAAACAATATTTTATTTTAGGCCTAATATAAATAATGTTTTCAGCCTTATTATGTCATTGAGAATATATTACTACATGTATCTCATACTAAGAACCCTGCTTTAAGTTTGATTAGTTTGAGAAAAAACATACTCTTTATAATAACAAAAATATTTGGGAGAGATTTTTTTTTATTTTGATATTCGACCTAGAAATTGGTTGAAGATCATTGCAAACCCTCCACGGAGTCCACCCCATTGCACAAAAGCTAGATTACACCAGGCAGGGGAGAAATATACTCTGGACTACGATTTTAAATAAAGATATACAGTAGATCTTGATACTGACCTTTGACCTAGAAAATTGGTCCAAGGTCACTCTTCATCCACTATCCACAGGCTCTCTGTAGTTTAAGTTTGAGAGAGAAATATGCTCAGAACAAGTGATATCAGATGGAGTGATGGGTAGACACTGTCTTAGGGCATCCACAGAACAGGACCTAAAAATAATGCAATATATATGTATTACAGTATAGATACACATGTACTTGTATATTAATGACTTATCATATGCTGCATTGGACACATATGATTTTATCATGGTTTAAGTATACATGCATCTTATGAGTAATTTTATACCGGTATTGCATGTACGCTCAGTTTATTTAAGAAATAAATAACAAGTTTACAAACTTCAATGGGAGAGATACCACAAATGTATATATAAACAAGTAATTTAATTTTTTTTTTTACATATATTGTCCAACATTATTTACATCCATTCATCATGTTCATAAATTGGCTGATCAAAATTCAGTCAGTTTTAGATCTATATGATATACCATAAAGGATTTTCACATTTACAAAAGTTATTCCCCTTTGCAGGGTCGATCTGGGGTCAACCGGCTTAAGACGCCGTTTTCCGTCTTTAACCGTATCAACTTTGAGGGACAATATCTTAGAAATAAATCAGTATGAACATATTCAATATGATTTTCATGTTGCCCCCATACTCTGCCAATACAGATACAGATTGTAATTGTCCAATATTTTTGAAGATTGAAAATATTAACAAGTAACTTACAAAGGACAAAGTGGGAAAAATGAGCGATACGCCAACAATTGGAGAAAACTCTTAGGAATGTGAAATTCGTCTATTGGTGATGACAATTCCTGTTTTAATGTCACTCAAAAATTAAGAGACATTAAAAATTTAAGCCCTATTGTCATACACGCATGCTGTTTTTTCATCCATATAACCTTTTAGTATCATAAAATTTACCAAAATTTAATACTTCAAGTAATTTCATTGAATATCTTTAAAATAAAGGAAACTCTACAAACTTAGTGACTTGCAGAAATTATTCCTTGGAGAGAAAAAATCTATCATATTCCATATAAATATGTGCATAATGAGCCTTTTTTATTCATTTAGAACATATGGTATGTGCCTCATTTCCCCAAGAAATTTTCAAAGACAATGGACTATCTGTAAGCAGAAATCATTGCTGTTTACTTACATTGGAAAAATTTATGAAAATAATTAATTTCCCTTTTTTTGATTTTAAATAATTCTTAAAATAATTTAATCTATTAAAAATAATCTAACTGACTGTAAAATAACATTTTTCATAATCTTAATCTATGGGCAGATCACTCTAACTTCATAAAACTAACTGATGTTAAAGTAGAACTCTTTAGTGTGCAGTTTTTAGAGCTTCCTTTAAGTAATCAAAATACTGACCAGCAAGAAATCAGTTAATAAGCATTTCCTTTTTTTCATTCAAATTTTTGGAGAGATCTCAGAGTTTTTTCCTGTTCAATTCAGGTTCGAGACGACAAAGTTTTATTGAAGTGTATGTATTAGAGAACTGATTGTATGTCAATCATAGCAATACACACATAACATGGAGGGGGCAAATTGTTTCAGCCCTAGCTTTTACATAAAACTTCTTGTAGCTCACAGCTGATATACCACAGTTCAGTATTTAAATAAAATTTAGAACCTTTTTTTTCAGGCAATTGTCATATACATACGAATCATGAATGAATTACCACTTACCAAATGACCACATCCTGAATCATCATACATTTTCTATGATTTTATCTCACTGGTTTTCTTTTAAAGTCACACAGTTTTCTTCTCTCTGAAATGATAAATTATGTCCAGGTACTATTGCATTCTAATTTAAACTAATTATGTAATAGCATTAGCAACAACCGGGATGGAAGAAAAAATAACCAGAAGTCTCTGTCGAGATTGTAGCTCTACTGGTTTGTACTTATCAAAAACTGATGCACAGAATTATGTATCTTAGTATAGTCTACTTGTGTGCCAAGTTATATTGAAATCAGACTAAAATTTAAGGAGGAGTAGTGTTTGCAGACAGACGGACGCTTTACTATCGCATAAGCTCTACTGGTCAGAGACCAACAAAACAAGATGCGCTTGTGAAACACAGCAACAAAGTTCGAAAAAGCAATTTTTTAGCATACAGGTCACAGTCAAGATCACTGACACATAATCATTGTCCTTGTTACCATTTGAAAGCACTTCATTAGTGGAGTATGCATACTAAAGTAAATATGAAGCCACTATCTCGTATAGTTCTAAAGTTATGGTGAAGGTTTAAGTTGACAACAGACACTCAGACAGCCACACAGATATACAGTTATGGCAAAAGTTTGACCATTATAACTTGGTATACACACAGCCACTTCGAGGTATCAAGGGTAAAATTCACAGCACAGTGGGACTGCATTTTGACTTCAAGGGATCAAGGGTTTCGAGAGATCAGGAGTTCGAGAAATCAAGAGCAAATCTGCCTAGTTATATAGTGGAAAAAATCGGGACAAGAGACTCAATTCAAGCGATCAAGAACTTCCGAGAAATCGAAGTTCAAGCCATCAAGAGTTACCTGTATATACAGATATAAGAAGCATGTTATTATTTGCAATTTTGACCTAATGACAGCTAAATCTGTTCAGTAAGACAATACCGTGTACATGTATGTAAGTAGTTTTATTGTGCATGATTATTTACTTATTTTCTTGATCTTCTCAACTTGAAGTGTTCTGTAATTTATTACCAAGTTTGTAATAAACATAATGAAACATACCCTTTTCCACATCACATCCTGTATCAGACCTTCGACCAATATCAGCCCTAGGGTCTCTGTCCCTCTGGCTGAAATTGGTGTCTCGGGCTAGGATGCGATATGGAAAGGAGTATGTATTATTCGCTATAGTATACATTGACCTACTCAGGTCAATAATTGTGAAAAAACTGATAATTCAAGCTGATGATTCATTTGCATTTCATGACATACTATCAATATTAATTCACTATTAGGATTTTCTTTTTTTACATCTTCATCTCAACAGGTTAGACATTACAAAAAAAAAATCTTTTGAGCAGTAAACTATTTCAATAAACAATAAAACAAACCTAATCTCTTCAGAAAAGAGGACAGGCTTTCACCTACATTCACTTTTTTATGTATATTTTCCCTCCATATCATCGTCATGCATATGATTAAGGGTTATGCTATTCGCTACAATCTGTTCTGATGAGGATATCCTTCATGAATAATCGGATAAGCTGAGATTGAAGACACTTTTTGTAAAAATATCGATGCTTTTATCAAAGTTTTGAACCAAAAATATTTAATTTATACCTTGCCATAAGTCGTAAGTTCCAAAAAAAACAAGAGTTGGCTCCCAAAAGTCAGAAAACACATGTGGTATTCAAACCGGATGTTCTACAGTCTGAATTTAATTACGAAACCATGTTCGGTGTAACTATTATCATCCGGATAATTTGAGCGGGGTTTAAAATATTTTTTTTAAATTCCGAAAAGTAATCATTTATATATAGAGAGAGAACATACACATGGAGCATGCATTTTAATAAACATGATAAAAGGCGAAACGTTGAAAATTTACAACATACAGCATGTACATGCACGGTGCCTTCATAATATAAGTTATGCTATATCAACGTCTCAGATTTCTCTCTCTCCTCTCTCTCTCTCTCTCTCTCTTTCTGCAATATATACACTTAACAATTTAAAACTTAGGTATCCAACTTTTCAAAATGGCGTCAGGACAAAAGTTGCCTCCGATAGTGAAGATTTGTTGTTGCCAAATATTACAACTATTTACCGTAAAAAGTTAACAAAAATATACGTACACTAATCCTTCATCGTTGGCCATTGCATTTATCACAGTCTTAAAGACACTGGGTGGTGAAACCATCTTAACTTTTCACATTTACCAGCTGCTTACACCTTCTTCTTCGTCCTTCTCGATCCTCAAAAATGGCGCCTCGGGAAATTGACCAATGAAATAAAGCGCCTACAGAGCGATGCAGGATGGGAAATATAATCTGTTTACATTCACTATGATTAAGTGTGATTATGAGATCTTATATTAGAATTTAATTAAGTTTTCCCCTTTTCATGGAATAAAAAGAGGGGCTCCTAAATATTTTTGCCGATATGATGTGTAGGCCTAGTATATTTAGAAAAAAAGCGGTTAAATACATGAGGCAAGAGCAGAAAAAAAAATTGTTTCTTGTTTGACACCTCAACTTATTTGCCTTCGGGATATGGGTTTCGGGGCTTGGTTGTTGGTAGTGGCCGTCCTTGCTGAAAGTAACCCCCCCCACACACACACACACACAGACACACACCTCTCCCCGCTTCTTTTAACTGTTACATGTATGATTATGAATTTATAATGTCACACCAAAAGATGTTAAATTTTTAAAAGCACATTTTTTTTGGTGAACTTTCCACAGGAATCCTAAAAGGCATGAAAATAAGCTACAATTATAATATGATTATCAAGAACAGTTTTTTATTTCAATAGTGATGATTGAAAAGTTCGGTGTTTAATTCATTGCTAATAAATTGTTCTGTTTTTTTTTTGGGGGGGGGGGATTAAATTACTAATCGAACTCCCTCCTTTTCGGGGTTTAATTAGATTTTGAGCCTGCTATCAATATTACTGGTGGACCTGCTAGACTTTTCTCTAATTGCTACATGTACATTGTACTTTAACATGTTTAAACTCCTTGGCCTTTAGCTAAAAAAGTTTCCCACATCATTTTAACACGTAAAATTGTTAAATGAATCAGAATGTTGAAAACCTTTTTCTTAGGAGAGTTATATCTCTAGCTGGAACAAAACTAACATCTCATCAAAGGCAGGAAATATAACAGTATTTTAATTCAATATTTTAGTCGTGATTGGTATAAGTGAAGTCATGGGAAAGATTATGTCGAAATTCATCTATACTCGTTGATGTGCAGGGCTGTACTTATGCATACAGCTTTAGCTGGTCCCGCCCTGTATTTCTTTTAATGTTTTTTTTTTCGTTAAGAAATCTGGTAAGGTATGCTAGTAAAAATAAAATCCCGGTTAGTTTATTACTCTTTCGGAAATTACTTTCCTACAGGCCTGAAGATCGAGTCTATTAGTCACGCAAGGTTTTTTTTTTATAAAAAGAGTAGCATGTCGGCGAATAAAAATAAAGTAGTGTACACCATAGATAAAGAAATGTTTGTTTGAGTATTGACAAATTAAACTTCATACCTTTATAGAATGAAATCAACAAAAACTGCACAAAAATACAATCGTGACAATTATACAATGAATTAATTATACAATTAATTCTTTTAATAGATTGCCTTAGCATGCACTACTTTAAAAGCCATTGTTCTTATGGAAAACAAAATCATGCAAAATATTATAGACTTTTCTTTATCTAGAGCAATGGCCTTTGGAGAAAAAAAAAATGGCTGAAAATTTTTTAGTTTGTTAAATATAATGTATGTGCATTTAGGACCCTACATTGTAATTTCATGCGAAAAGTGCAGGCGTTTACTACACGGGGATCTGCGTACATATTTAAACAAAAAAGGGGGGAAAACGTTTTATGTGATGAATTATATTATAAACATTTATCCAATAAATGTCTTTGTAGTACGTTAGATTACAAATTTCACACAAAAACCCATCAACAATATTAAATACAGTTTTGATTTCACATTGATCTATTAACGTCATTCTGATTTAATATAATTATACACGACGAGAATTAAGATCTATTCAATACCTATAGAAAATTATTTAATTTCTAAAGAGGAGAGTTTTATTTTAAATCAGTAATGAAAATTGAAATAAAAATTCTAAATAGTTTGTTCTTTCATTGAACTTCTTAAATGTAGGTTATTTTATAAATATGTTCTCTTGTATAACTTTATTTATGGAATATACAATTTTTTAAATGATAAAAGAAATTCGAATCATCATCTTAATTTAAGAGAATTTTCGGTCGGAGACTGTGTGTGTACATGCTCGACAACAGCCCATTGTTCCCTTTAGGTACAAAACCGTCTCAATTCACATAGAATATACAAAAAATACACAGTGACAGGTGTCTTCGCGGCACGTGTCTCCACCTGATATGGCACGTGAGGACAGGTGTCCCTAATTACACAGGCCGATCATAGTGACTTTTTCAAAAGCGTTTTTTTTTGGGGGGGGGGGGAGGGGCTTCTCAAGAAAAAAAATAAAAAGCAACCCACCCACCCCAATAATAAAAACAATGATTTAATAAATTAAAAAAGACAATATTCACTATTAATAGTAAAATACTAGTATGATAATACTCAGCCCCAAGCCAATTCGATGAATGATTCTTATCTGACCAGTTTATATTGATATATTAATTCATATTAAAACAAAATCTTTATCAATTTCTAAACTTGTATTTAAAAACTTGAAACACTAAAAATGTAATTTTGACAAACCAATTGAAGTATTTTTTTCCTGACCAATTACCCCGGTATATAAGAAATGCCAACCTCTGGTATCTAACACAAATGCCTGGTAAGGTACCTTGATGTCTTGTGAATACATGTAATTATGTAAAAATAATTCTTCAATGTCAATTGCAAAATATTGGAAAAAAATTAATTATTTTATTGAGGAACGTCTCACCTGTCCTTAATCAGTAATCGTAACTTGACATATTTCTTTATTTACTTTTTAATCGATCTTTTTAGTAAACCTTTTCTGTAAATAATTTCATTAAATGTACCCTTCCTTAGCTCTTCCATTTTTTTCAAAGGAACATTCATCATAGACAGCTTCAAGATTTCTACATAACTGCATGCACTTACTTTTTCCTATTCCACTTCACGCATTCTATACGAGTTTACCAAAACTTATGTGATAAATCAAATTCAAAATTAAATTAAATTAAATAAAATTCAGTTAAATAAAATTAAATTAAAATTGAATTGCGTTCACGGTGCTGAAATATTAAATTAATCACACAGAAATACATATCTAGTTATTTTAACTGTTTG